GGTCTAACATGGTTCTTGTCAAAACATTCTAGGGTCAACCATTATTTTGTCAATATTTAGATTGAACTGCATTCCATTTTTAAACATGAAGAAGGATGAAGGATGGTACTCCCTCTGAAAATTAAGCAAAATCACATCGATTGTTTTAGTTCAAACTAATCTGAGAGTGTTTTATTTATCACTGGTCATTGCTTTTTGACACCATCATATTACTTTTTTCACATTGTCAAAATAAAAAATAATAAAGAAAATTCATTTTAAATAAGTTACATAAGATTACAACATCATTTACTGTTTTGAGAATTTGTTTTATTGCAGCTTACCATTACTGGTATGATGATTGTGTAACATTCCTATCCATCATTTTCAGAAATATTGTTACATGACGGGAGATTAGCCAGCCTTATTACAGCGGCAATACTTAACAAGTTTGTTTACACTATGTGCCGCCATCAGTTGTGACTACATGTAATAAATTTGCGGTGTAGTAGTACTGTGTATCGATTTTCAGTTAGCTAATGATATCTGGTCATTTATCATTTAAATAAGGCATTTATCCATGACATAAGCTTATGACATAAGACCATTTATTACCTACGAGGGCGAAAATATCGGGGTTCAAACAATGCCCTAGGTCAAAATATCACTTTGTCTTGGTGATGTGACGTCATAAACAATGCTATGACATCACGTTTCATCTGTGACGTTGCATTCTACATGCAGCGAAGGCGGGTAGCCTGCCTATGTTTGAACAGGGCTCCAGATAAGGGCCGTATCGGTGTATATACGGATAAAAGACATGCACGATACGATAGGAAATAATTTAGGAAACGTAGCAGATACGCACCACAGCAATGGTGTACGGTCTTAGAATCATTTACAGAACTTTTTATCTGAAAAAAGTATTGTTTTATTGTTTATTTACTCAAGACTAGCAATGTTGTAGTGCATATATGAAACGAAACACAAGATTATTGATACGCCATTTAATTCCATTCAGTACTCTAAATGTACTCTTAAGTTTTTCCAGTATTCTTATATTGAAAAATAAGGGAGTACGTACTCCTGATGTTGAAAAATTATCTGGAGCCCTGTTTGAAAGTCGATTTTGGTTTATTTACCTCAATTTGACGAATTTGGTAATAAACAGAATATTATATTCGTGCCCATATCATACTATGTTTACGACACGAGTGCCTAAATATCGGTATATCCCTCGCTCTCGCCCGGGAAATACCAACATTTAGGCACTCGTGTCATAAACATAGTATGACATGGGCACTCATATAATGGATCAGGAGGTCCAGGTGTTTTGGGGGTAGGTGTTTTCTACGGCTTAAGAGACAGCTGGCAGTTCCTGCAATTACTGATTACGCGAATAATTGACCGGGCAATGTAGTCTAACCTGTCAATTCCGCGAAATTTGCACCAAGCGAAAAAAAGTACGTTTACAGTATCCTCTATGTATGTCCAATGATATAAGGATGCAAATTAGATTAGAAGTGGGACTTTTTTACGTGCACTTTCAACAGATTCAAAAGCTAAGTATCAGTGAAACTGTACACCTGTACCTGATTTTTCTTTATTAGCACAAAATTGATATACAGATGGGAGCAACATACACTACATTTGAGAAATATGATATGATTCAACATGTTCATGTTTGTGCAAGAGAACAGTTATAAAAGGAAGATCTGCTGCCTTCCAAATAACCAATTCATCTCTTCAATGCATATATCATACTAAGGTCAACATGGATGGAATTATTTTCATTGAAAACATAAAACAAAACTAGCATATACACATGGCATGAAAGCTTTCTGACGTGTGTTCTGTGTACAAGTTTTCAGCCAAGTTTTATTGTCTGCCTTCACTGAAATCTGAATTTATTTGATTTGAAAGTCAAATAATTGAGAAAAAAGGTATTATAAACTGCAATCAGCACAAAATACCCCTGTCATGCACACTTTCAAAGGCAAGCCAGTGATTTGAGTTAAGAATCTTTACTTGTGAAATTCCATGCAATAATAGCGCAGCAGATTTGTTTTGTCCTTGGAAATGAATGAGTTTAGTTTTAAGCTGCACTCAGCAATATCCCAGCTAATGGCAGCGGTCTGTAAATAATCGAGTCTGAACAATCCACTGATCAACATCATGAGCATCAATCTACGCAATCGGGATACGATGACACGTGTCAACCAAGTCAGCAAGCCTGACCTCCCGATCCCGGTAGTCGCCTCCTTGGAAATGAAGAAACGTCAGGTATGCCTTAATTGTGAATATGCAGTACCTTTCAGAAAGTGGTCTCTACCCATACTCAATGGCCAATGTGTCCATTTCATCCAAAGTTCTAGTCGGCATGATGAGTTACTGGTACTCATTATAACACGACATGTATTTTCTTCAAGTTAGTGAGTTAGTTTAGTTTTAAGCCGCACTCAGCAATATTCCAGCAATATGGCGGCGGTCTGTAAATAATCGAGTCTTGACCAGACAAAATCCAGTGATCATCATCATGAACATCGATCTGCACAATTGGGAACCGATGACATGTGTCAACCAAGTCAGCGAGCCTGACCACCCAATCCCGTTAGTCGCCTCTTACGACAAGCATAGTCGCCTTCTGTGACAGGCATGGGTTGCTGAAGACCTATTCTACCCCGGATCTTCACGGGTCATTTTCTTCAAGGTGAGAGAATGATTTACTGCCTTTTGAATGCTTTTTTGCCATATCACAGCATTTCAACACAATGTTGCAGAACAGCTTGAAGAGATACAAGTCTTAGATCATTACAATGTTGGTGAAAAAAGGAGAGAGTGATGGCATATTCCAGACCTAAGAATAGTACTCAATCAATCAATAGCCAAGAAAGGGTATACTCTTTAGTTTTCCCCATTATCAATCAACACATACTTCCCACAGGTGCTGATGATAAATTTACATTTTGACTTTTTAAACATTCTTTAGCAGTTACAGCTGGGAATATTTGTGGAAAATATCACCCTTTAGAGCCATCAATATCACTAAACTGTAGACATGACATAATTCTGTCAATATCAACTGAAATGTGGACATGGGGTGATTCTGTCAGTGTCACTGAACTGTACACAGAATTCAATCAATATCACTGAAATGTGAACATGATTCTGTCAATATCACTGAACTGTCCACATGATTCTGTCAATATCACTGAAATGTGAACATGATTTCATCAATATCACTGAAATGTGGACATGATTCTGTCAATATCACTGAACTGTGGACATGATTCTGTCAATATCACTGAAATGTGGACATAATTCTGTCAATATCACTGAACTGTCCACATGATTCTGTCAATATCACTGAACTGTGGACATGATTCTATCAATATCACTGAACTGTGGACATGATTCTGTCAATATCACTGAACTGTGGACAAGATTCTGTCAATATCACTGAACTGTCCACATGATTCTGTCATCAATATCACTGAACTGTGGACATGATTCTATCAATATCACTGAACTGTGGACATGATTCTGTCAATATCACTGACCTGTGGACAAGATTCTGTCAATATCACTGAACTGTCCACATGATTCTGTCAATATCACTGAACTGTGGACGAGATTCTGTCAATATCACTGAAATGTGAAAACAATTCTCCAAAGATCACTGAACTGTGGACAATCATCTTTACCTCCACATTCATTCATATTACAAACCACCCTACAGAAAAAACCATTCATTAATACTCATGCTCATAATATAAACCATTTACACACACGAAAACCGAAAATCTTGAAAAAATGAACACTATTGCTGTGATTGCTTCAGGCTTTTAAAGACCTCCCACACACTATTTGGGTAGGGCTGCACATTTTGTATCTCACAAGGGAAATCTACAAGTAGTAAAATATGCATAAACAGGTGGAAATGTCCCAAAATATATCTCAGGCAAATTTACTATGATGGAGCAGGCATTTAAAATGTCAGCAAAAAGTTGTTGAAAAAATTATGGCTGTGGTGAGACGATGTCACAGGATATAGAAGCATTTGAGGGACGACAGGTGAGAGGGCATGGAAAAAGTCTTCAGGGTATAGGACCACGAGAGGATATCATTGGGGTAACAGAATGAGACCCGAGGCAATATTTGAGGGGTGTTTTAAAGACTGATCTCAAGGAAATTGATTATTGATTTAAAATCTTAGTGAAACAAAATCGAATCAAGAACAGACTTCAATACCATGCATAGCATTTTGTAGAGTTGCTAATCATCGTAAGTGATAGTATGTTAACATTTGATGGTAGAAAGTGGGACATCAGTGTATCCATTGTCTTCCTGCTGCATTTTTCTTCATAATTCCTAAACTTAACATCAGATATATCATACTGGTTTGACATGATGTTTTATGGTATAGTTTATAAGCACAGAAAATTCTCACAAATAACTAACAAGGGTACGTAGGTAACATTTTTGTCAATATAACTACCTAAGGGGCCGTTCATAATTTATGGCTAGGGGGTGATGCTGATTTTTATTGCATTATAATATAATAATAATAATATTACGTAATTATGTGTAACGAGCTATTGTCTTAAAAACCCTATTGTTAAGCTGAAATAAAATTTGGGACCGTTCATAATATATGGCTTGGGGGTGGGGAGGGATGATGATTTTTATGGAGCACCATGTACAATGTGAATGACCCCCCATTAAATTTATGCACAAACTAAGTGCCCCCCCTGCATGTCATGTACAAAAATCAAAGACATGCCCCCCTAGTACTCCTCCTGGGTAAAAACATCAAAACTTGCTAAATAGTCTACAACACATATACTTACTTCATATCAAAATTCTTAATGACTTATGCAGTTCTTGCAATAATGACATTCATAACAATCAAATACTGGATTTGAAATGTGTGTGAACATTTTTCAGATGTCATATAGTTTTGGACTATGTGTAAACTAGAATTTTTTTTAAATGTTTTTTTTTTTATAGATTTGACATACCATTCCTCCTTCCTAACTTGATGAGTCTTTCTAAGTATCTCTTGGCTTCAGCACTAATTTCACCCTTGTTGTTCTTCTGGAAAGCCACAATGGCATCAAAAACATCCTGCCTCATGCTGCAACATAATACGAGAAGGAAATATTAAGAAGAGGCAGTGGTAAAAATCGGAACAATAATATATACGTCTGTGCATAAAATAAACACCACCCTGTATTTTTACCAATTAATTTTGTCTGAAATGAAATTCTAAACTCTTTCCAAACAATAACCTTTATAATTTGATAGAGAAAGCATTTAACATTTCAAAAACGAAAACATCATTGAAATTACCATGTACTTTAATTAGGATAATTGCCTATATTTAAAATAGGTGTATCAGTATCCAGCAAGAAGTGTTTATTCATTACAATAAACTCAAAATCATAAAAAATTATTCCAAAATCTTATTAATGTGGCCTTTTTTCAGTTTTTGTCATTCAGCAATCTGAATTGTTGGAAAAAGGTCTGAATCTTCGACATTCGGGTTCTTCCTGATAATGCATAATTAAAGCTTACTTGATGTGTAAATGTCAACTTGGTATATGACAGAATTGTTATTTTAGTCAAAACTTAATTTAATTCTGTAGTTTAAACAGAGAGGAATAGTTATTTTGGGTAAAAATTCAGTCCAATCACATTTTCATCAACATATTCTTTCACAAAGAATAGAAAAGGTTATGGTATCTGTAAAACTGTCAGTGGATAAAGCTTCTTTAATTACAGGTTGATTAAATTGATGGCTATACCCTAACTTTTCTGTACCATCACGTGTTATTTTCAAAATAGGGTGGTGCTTAATTAATGCACAGGTGTATATGTCTCTTACAATAATGTCGACCCGTGATGATCCAGGGTAGAAAAGGTCTTCAGTAACCCATGCTTGCCACAAAAGGCGACTAACGGATTTGGTGGTCAGGCTTGCTTGGTTGACACATGTCATCGTATTCCAATTGTGTGGATCCATGCTCATGCTGTTGATCACTGAATTGCCTGGTCCAGCCTCGATTATTTACAGACTGTCGCCATATAGCTGGAATATTGCTGAGTCCGGCGTAAAACTAAACTCACTCACTTAAAATAATGTCAGCATAACTACTAACACATACAGGACACATACAATGTCACTCCACATGCTCAAAGGTCAGGAGATTTAAAACTATAATCAAGAAGAAGTAGATACAAACTTGAATTTTCAATGCAGTATAATTCTGGTATATGACTACCTGTGAATAATGCAGGGGTGGAAATAACCCATTGCCCGATGCCCGAGTCCAGTGTTTTTTTCTGCCGGGCAAGCAAATTTGTATATCACACTGTACCGGTGTCCAGTTGACTTTCCAATATTTATTAGGTGGTTTATTTAAAAAAATCAACCAGAAAACGGCCGGTATAGTGGAAAAATTATCAGGGCAAGTGATTTTACATGTGCCACTGTACCGGAGTACACTAGCAATTTTAAAGTTCTTTCCACCCCTGTAATGGAGTCGAGCCAAGGCAAACCAGTTTATGTTATTATGTCGGACATTCTACATCATCAGGCTATAATGGGTACATAAACAACACAATCCATTGTGACACCTCTAACAGCAACCATTACTTCTACCTACTGCCTGCCACCTGTAGCATGATGTAGTGAGGGAGTGAGTTTAGTTTTTACACCACTTTTAGCAATATTCCAACAATATCATGGCAGGTGACACCAGAAATGGGTTTCACACATCGTACCCATGTGGGGAATCGAACCTGGGTCTTTGGTGTTACGAGCGAACGCTTTGACCATTAGGCTACCCCACCGCCCCTGTGGCATACTGTAAGCACAGCAGTTTTAGAAATTAAGTGAGTTCAAGAGTTCATGAAATAACTGGTATCAACATACCAACATATTTTTAAAATGAATCTCCAGTGGTTGAGCGGGTTAGGTGCCTGAGTCTGAGAGTATGGGTTCAAATCCCGGATAGGACTCAACCCAATAAAAGTACTCGAATGTGTTCTTTACTGAGAAGTGTAATCCCAAATACAATATAAGATGTTATATTTTTTGAATGAATTTCACAAAAATACTGTCAGACGGCTTTCTAGTCCAGTGAAATAATGTTTTTAAATTTGCTTTTCAGTTCAGTAAAGGCCACAAGATAAGTTCCATTCATACAGTGTCATACCCTAAATGTTTCTATATTAAACACACAAATAAATTAACAGACCCATCAGGAAGACTTTTAAGGAATATTTTCAAAACTCGCACCAACCTGCAGAGGTTGCTGATTCTTTAAGAGAGTCCTCCTTGGGGTACTTATTAGCATAATATTTCCAACGACAGTTGTAACAATATTTTGAATAAAAATATTTACAAAACAAAAAAGATTTTTTTCCCCTTGTTTGACCACCCCTGTTGAGCCACACCTGGTCTTCAGCAGAAAGGTAACTGTAACCTCACTACTGACTTTCCATGCTGATGTGATCAGACAGAATGTGGGGAGGTGGGTGGCCCTACACCAAGGAGGATTCTCTTCAAAGAATCAGCAACCTCTACAGGTTGGTACGATTCTTTTTCAGAAGAGGTCCTTCTTCGGGTACTTAAGACAGACTCCCATAAATAGAGTCGGGAGTGGCATTCTGTCTGGCAAAACAAAACCCAATTCAAGTGGAATTCCCCATTCTATGAATAGATCATGATCACACCCAGTCATGTGATCTCCAACGACGATCAGGCAAGGGCACAAGCAAGGGACAGGGGTTGAACAAATGCCGAGGTAATAAACATTCACTGCAAATTAATGCCTCAAAATAAATACCCAGAAAAATTACTAGCCCAGCTAGCAAAACTTTCAGGGAAAATCGAACAAGTGCAAAAACCATTGTGAGAGTGAAGTGGAGGATAAACACCACTACCAAACGCCCTCGGTGCAAGGAAGGTAAGCATAAACACCCATCACCCAAACAAAAAGGGCAGAAACAGTCTAATCTTAATAGCTCAATCAGCTAGAGAATTATGAGTGCTGAGAAACAGCAGAACAATTTATTATCCTTGCAAATATCTTTTGTTTGTTTGATATAGACATTGAGGGTCTTGCAGACATCCAAGATGTGAGCACGTCTAGGAGCGGTCCCTGATGAGGAAGGTTGACAGAGAGCAAGGAGCTCAATAAGAGCCTTCACATGGAAGGTGCGATCTATCTTCGGATGATAAGAATCAGGCAGTTCGGGATCAACGGATATCGCATAAATATCACGACCCACCTACAAGACGTTACTGCCACAAGAAATGCTGCCTCATCAACTGGAGTGAAAGAGAGGACAGACTGTGAAAGATAGGATCCGGACAGCCAATCAAGAACAATTGACAAGTCCCAAAGAGGGCTGATCAGCGGATGGTCGGTCGGATCATGTCCACAGCTGCTATAAAGCGCTGTACGAGAGGGTGCTGCCCCAGGAGAGTACCGTTGATAGGTATTAGGGACACTAAAATAGCCGTGGAGCATCCTCCAATGGTTGAAGCGGCGAGGCCGGCTTCCAACTGTGACTGGAGGAACTCCAACACACAGATTAAATTTGCAGAAAAGGGACAAAGAATCCCTCTGTCGACACACAAGCGCACATATAGCTCCATCTATCCTCATACTGAACGTTCATTGAATCCCTATGGAAAATCAGAATTGTGTTTGCAACTGGTGCAGGAGATCTGCAGGCTTGGAGGCTATTCCAGACAGCAGCCAAGCCACCCACAGAATCCTGGGATTCGGGTGGGGCTCTCCGTTCTGGGATAGGTCTGGTTGAAAGGGTAATATTACAGGAGGCTGAGCCAGGAACCTGAGAATTACTGGAAACCAGCTCTGAGCAGACCAAAGGGGTGCAAGGAGCATAAGTAGTCAAGTTGGCTGGGTTGCTAGCTGCGAGGGGACCTTGGGGATCAGCGGTATTGGCAGGAAAGTCCAAAGTACCCTGTCTGTCCAATCGACCTCGAAGGCATCAGAGAACAGCTCTGTCTAGTCAAGTCTCAGAGAACAGCGGGTTATCTGGTTCATCACTAGTCAGGGATCCGAGATCAGAAGACTGGTATCTGGTTCATCACTCCAGAGACAAACAGATCCACCTGGAACAACCAGCACAACTGGGAGATAATCCAGAATATCTCCCGATAGAGCATCCACTTGTGTGGGGCTAGGATACGTCAAGCGGGCGCATCTGCTTTTCCGAGCGTTATCTATCCCCCCGGAGGTTAACCCAAGGTATCATCAGCTTGTCCCAAGAGAGATGAAATGGCATCAAAAGGCCCCTTGACCAAGGCTTCAGTAGATATCAGGCCTCGACCTTAGCTACCATCGCCGGGGATCAGAACTGTACCAAGGATAGAGCATGTGCCGGAACATCCCCAGATTTTGCATCCCTTGTCATTATGCACTGCTTCAGCAAGGCACCGGAGACAAGAGTCGTGCGAGTCTTGCGGGAGTAGATTAGTTTGACAAGTCACACAGTGTTTGAATGACTGCAAAAAGTCACCCAAACCTGGTTAATGGTATGTATATGTATACAATGCATGTATGTAGAAACATAACACAAACATGACGTAAACAAGACAAAATTAAAACAAGGGCAATCATTATAAAAGAATGTAATGCAAAGCAAAACATGAAAGCAAACACAGCAACATCAACTGAACATGTAAACATGTAGAAGAATGTAGCATGCTGCTCGCCTCACCCGCCATCTTGACAAACACGTAGGTAGGAGTGGAGAATATGGCAAAGAAACTATAACACTAAATGCAGTAAAAACTGCAGAAACGAGCAAGCAATATTCAACTGGACAAAATCGCTTGGGGAACATACAGAAGAAAATAACCTGTCGTGTGACATAGTCAACATCAAAAAGTACAAGCTAGAAGTGATGACGTGTCACGCAAATAATATGTAAAAAATGTAATGTGATGTAAATATAATACACACAAGAACAATTCCCTAATCGAAAGAGCATAGAAGCTAAGCAAAAACGCACATAAGAATAGGGACTGTTGGCCACACCACCCACAATCTTACAAAGACGTGGTTTGAAGTGGAGAGCTGACGGAAAGGTTACAATATTAATGAATGGAAATGTGAAACGTGTCCAATATATCACCCATGCGATTTAAAAATTAAAATTAACAATACATTCATTTCTTTCTCACTCATTGTAAGTAAAGGTAAGTAGGAATTCAATTTGAAAAGGTTTTCAAAGCAAAGAACAGCACACATGTCTTCACTCAATGAGTAGTGAGGTTAGAGTTACCTTTCTTGGCTGAAGACCAGGTGAGACTCTACAGGGGTGGTTGAACAACACAAAAAATGTTTGTTTTGTAAATATTTTTATTCAATATATATATATATATATATTGTTATAACTGTCATAGGAATTTTAAATGGGCATAAAAATGCGAATAAGTACCCCAAGGAGAACCTCTTCTGAAAAAGAATGCACTTTTTTATTCATTTGCAGACTGTAACCAAATTCATGGTTGTCCTGACACTGCTAGAAATCTCACCTCATTTCTACTTCAAACTCAGACAGTTTTTTATCTGCTTCCACACTGACATCCCGGAGTCCTTTATCGGCATACACATGCTGAACAAAGTCCAGGTTATTCCTCTTCACAGAGTACTGACAGTCATTGTCTGCAAGTGCCTGAATGCAATCAGAAATAATCTCTGAGGTAAGTTATGTTTGCACGGGTTAAAAATGATCATTGCTCAGAGCCTGTAATAACTACTATATACAGGTGGGACAAATCAGCACATCAGTACCTATGCGTATTTCAGATGTAGCTTATGTCAGGCGTAAAGCGTTATGCCAGGCTTAGCGGCACCTTCCTTTCACAACTGAGAAGGTACAACCGAAGCTTAGTCATGGTGTAGCTAAGCCTGATGTAACTGCTGTCTTATGCCAGCTAGGTAAGTGGCGTATCTCTTGGATGAAAGTAAGGCGTAAATTTTCTTACGTCATGGATATGAATTAGGGTGTAGATTTGCGCTTGGGCGCAATTCACACTTATGCCCGGACTTTGACTTACGCCTGACATATGCATACGGCCACAGTATTTTTCATTCAGTAAAATCATGTCATTACAAGAGTCATATTAAATGACTAAAACATACTTTATTATCATAGAAATTAACATATTAGGTATACTCAGAACATTTATTCAACTACATAACTTATCTGGGCTTGTAAATGTTAACTTTTATGCTCCATGTAATAGCATGTCGAATTAATAATAAATGGAGCTTCTGAAACATTTTGGAGCCACAGAGTATTTACAACGCACCATTATTCACACTGAGCATGAATACATTTCCTTCGGGTATTCAGTATATATTGACACTCTTAGGCCCAGCCTATTGATTATTTCAAAACAGAAAAATAAAAGTATTAGCATCTGGTTATCTGTTTAACTGTAGTCCTTCATTTTTACAGCACTAGAGGTCATGTATACATGAAGCCTGCATTTGATCTGCAAATACAACTCTGTAATGTTATTGGTACACAAGCTGAAGAGGCTACAATGGATAATACTTATGTAAAGTATTGTTATGCAACTTAGATTTTGCAATTTATCAGACAAGCAGCTCATGTTGATATGTTTTGCATATTTTACGCAAGTATGCAGTTCATCTGGACCTCTGGATATCTCCAGTTACATCAAACTGAGAAGTGCCTTTACTCTGCATGCCTATATCGCTAATGTAACACTGTAATTACATTGAGTTATATTGTTTAGTTTGTTAGATTTCTTCTAACATAAAAGAACCTCCTCCTTGATTAGATATTATTGACCAAATGGATTTACACAGTGAAACTTAGGTGATTCAATATCAGTTGGCAATTTCAACACATGGAAAGTGAAGTCAGACTTGTCCTTGAACTGGTAAAAAATGTCCTTTGTATGGCAAACTTTTAGGGAGTTTGTCTTTTGGGGTTTTTTCTCTCAAAATTTCAAGATTGAAATGTTGAAATGTCAAGGTGATATGATAAAATTTTGAGATATGAAGGTGAAATTAAAATTTACAAAGTGTTGAATAATATGTTTTTGGATGTCATACTGGCTTAAAACCCACATCAGGATACTACGTTGTAACTTCAAGCAAGTAAGTTGAAATGTCAAGATGTCATATTGAAACTACAAGATTTTAAATTTGAAATGTATCGTCAAGTCACACAAGTTCGATCGACATGTAACTTCGATCGCCCATTTTGAATGGTAATTGTCACGATCTGTAGCAATAACTTACAATATCTGCAGCTTTGATCCTCTGGTGACACCGCTTATCATTCATTTGGACCGGAAAATGTTTCATGTCAAGTTACCAAACGTAAGTTATAGCTCATATTCAGCAAACAACTACTTTTTAACCCAAGATCAATAATGTACTTTATCAGCTCAAATAAAATGTAAACAGTATTCATTTCACATGTAAACTGACAGCACACCTGTCTTCTGCTTGTTTTCGTTGCTGGTCTAAATGTTACATGACCAGACACGTGATATCTTTGTCAAAATTTAAAACTTTGGAAACAAGTAAGGGCCATTTCTTATAGAAAACTTAATGCTTTTTGAGAATTTCCGTCAATTTGTACCTTATGAGGTTCGGGCTAGTGCCTCATTGATAAATACAACCTGGGCACAATGTACCCACCCTACATGTCAGCACAGAACACATTTACGTTTCTGCACGCCAGTTCGTGGTGTCTGTCGACATTCTGAGGTTTGGTGCCCCTGTCACGATGAGCCTGAAGAATAACTCCCTGCATAATACTTGTATATAATCTGAATATTTGTGACTTTTCATCATTTTTAGAAGTATTAAAACATAAAATGAATGTTTCATGGACATAAATACAATAAAATTACTTGGGACTGCTCCAACTCTGAATTTGACACAAGAGATCGTCCATACAAGTCATCCTGTTTATGCGAAAAGCCAGCCAATCATATGATCGAACTTGTGTGACGTAGCTTTCTGGGTCACTTGTGTTGACAGTGAAAGGGCAGCCATGCCGCGATTGTGAAAAGCAGTAAAAATACCTGGATTTCAGAAATGTTTGACATAAATAAACAAATTTAGAAGTAAGAGATTTGAAAATAAGATTATATGAATATTACTTTGAAAATTCATCGACAGTTCTTAAGTGATCGAACTTCCATGACATGAGGATATGTTTTATAAAGATGTCAACAGCTTGAAATTTCAAGAGAGAGAGAAAAACAGAGAAGCAGATCTTACTTGACCCTATGTTTATGTTTAGATTACAAATACACACAGTATGAGTGCAAAAGTTCTCAGCCATTACGAACTTCCCATTAAACTCAATTAGGCTATGATGAGTAAATATGTGAACGAAAACCGGACAACAGGGTATACTTCTAATAATTTGCACACAACTATCTTGCATATGTGTAATGCACTTCTCGCTATACCTTAACGACGTTCCCATAATTGATTTCTTCCGTTTTCAACAGCCCCACGGCATCGTATGCAGCTTTTGTTTTCACAATGAGTTCGTCGGCAGATGCCTTTATATCGTCTGCTGTTATTTTCCAGGACAACAGGTTACCGGTAACCGACATGCTTCTAATTTGGATGAATGTTCGACTTGTAAGCAAAGATATCACAGGCGAACTCCTGATGTGGTTAATAGGAGCAGGACTGAGATTAACTGATAGCAATTTGACTAAGGATCTAACAGCTGTTAGTCTACAAATGTTCATTCGCGATATGGTTTTGTTTTCGGTCAAAAGCGTGTCGGAAGCGACGAGCAGATAACTCCGTGTCTTTCCGGTTAAAAACACAATCATTCAGAGTAGCCTCCCTTGGAGGTGGTGTTTCCGATACCATTTATCGTAAGATGATTTAATTTGTCTTACATCTGCGTCAGCATAAATACATGTATATAAAATAAATACATAAAAACTAACTTCAGTTTTAAACACTGTCACGTGTATCCCGTATGCATATCACAAAGACAAAGTAGATCTAGTTTATCACTGTCGAAGGTATTATGATAAAGCTAATAATAATAATAATAAAAACCTATATAACTAAGATATGGTATCTGATATCTAATTAGAAAAAAGAAGTATGTAATAAACGACAATCCCTTAAATATCTGATTTCAACCTAAGCTGTCCCTAACTGGATTGGCAGCTAAATAACCAAGATCACAAGTATATGCAAATGAAGCGGTAAGCCAATCAAAATAAGTCAAGGGCATCTACTCTCGTTCTGAACGACTCCTCGTTTATTAGCAGAATGGCAAATACCAACTAAGTACTATTTCAAGTTTGAGGTAAGTATTCCACTTATGAAACTAGAACTAATGACAATCAAACATGCACCCGTCACCCGATTCAAAATATACTCAGCAGCAAAAAAAACCCGTCAGTACGAATTCAAAATTAGATAGGCACTGTAATCAAATTATTACAGAAATGGACATAATAAGCGGATCAAAACCATTTTTTGTGTACAATATCTTGACACATCAATGAATAACTCAGCATAATTTCAAGACATTACGTGGACGTTTGCAGTCCATTCATACTCTTGACATCAGTATCTAGTGTGACCACCACGAGCGGCAATAACTGCAGCACAGCGTCTATGCATGGAGTGCACCAATCGATTGATGAAGGCCATTGGCACCTGGAACCACACTCTGAGAAAGGCCTGGCCCAATAAATCGGCTGTGTTCGGCCTTGGTATGACATTATTCAGTCTCCTCTGAATTTCATCCCAAAGATGTTCAATTGGGTTTATATCAGGACTAAGGTCTGACCACTGCATAATGTTGACACAGTTCTGCTGTAGGAAGTCCCGTATAGCTCTGGCAGTATGGGCCCGGGCATTGTCATGCTGAGAAATGTTGTTCCGGTGACGTGCGAAATGTGGTATGACGTGGGGTCTGAGAGCTTGGTCGCTGCTGTGTTGCCGCCTCCTCTCCCTGGACCAACGTTCTGGAACACAACAGGACCCACTCTCTGGTCAGGCCTATTCCACCCCATACCATGATGCTTGCACCTCCCCATGAGTCTCTTTCCATAACACATTGGTCTGGCCACGTCGTCGCCATATTCTTGTTCTGCCATCTGCAGTTGATACGCAGTACCGACTCTCATCTGTGAACAGAACAGTTCTCCATTGCCTGTATCGCAAGTTTTGGTGTTGTAGGGCAAACTGTAGACGTTCACGCCGCTGACGAGGGGTGTGGATAAGTCCACAGTAAGGTCTACAGCAATGGAGGTTCCCGCTGTTACGACGTCGGCGTAGTGTATCAGTACTGATTGGTCTTCCGTGTGTTCCCACTGTCTGGCGTGCTGTTTCGGATGCCTGCGTGAAGGGATTCTGTACATGCTGTCGCACAACATGGCGGTCTTGCCGTCTTGTGGTGACCCTTGGTCTGCCAGTACGAGGGCGATCATTTGTGGTGTTGGTAGCCCGGAAACGTTGCTGCAGCCTGTGGATAGTCCGAACGTTGACCTGGAAGTGATTGGCAAAGGCTTGTGCAGTGTGGCCAGCTTCAAGTCTTCCTAGCGCCTGGTTCCTCTGAGCTGTCGTGAGTCGCGGCATCCTGCTGACGTTGTAATGTGAATGTTTCAACCAGGTTTGGGGGTGCATTTTATAGGGCTGGTCCTTGTGAACAGCGCGTGCTGCATGAGTTGCATGAAAAACATGGAAAACATCGTACCATCTCCGAGATCAGGTTGCGTTCTTGAGACCATTTCCTGAGTTCAATTCTGAGTTTGGGAAGGAATGTCTTTGCTCAGGTAACGTTGGAGATGTTGTCAAAAATATACAATCAAAACAATAAATGAGTTTACAGTAATCCGTTTCTGCGAAGGAAAATTCCAAATTGATGTTTCTTTTGCTGCTTAGTATATTTCAGCCTTACTCTCAGGCTGTTTGAACCTCACTTACAACATACCTCCGGTCAACAGATGTCGTCTGCTGATAAAAAGACAAGTTCCATGGAGGCAATTTATGAAACAGACGACATAATCGATTAAATATTTGCTCCAAACGTGTTCTTCACAACCAACAGGATTAGGAAAGAAATCCAAGGTCTTACGCGGCTCTTTCCTTTCATCAGATACAGAATAAGGGACCTTTCATAATTTATGGCTGGGGTGGGGTGTAATAATAATTTTATGGAGAAATATGTACAATGTGAATGACACCCACCCACCCCCTGCATGTCATGTACAAAATCAATGCCCCTCCCATAATTGTTAAGCTTAATTTTAGAATATATTTGTGTACAAGATTGCTGACACCCCACCCCCACCCACCCCCAGTACATGTGCAATCAAATTGATGACCCCCTACTTACCGGAACAAAGTGGGTGTCCCCCCTTAAAATCATTAAAGGAACTTATTATTGACTTCAGAACTAAGACGTACGCTAAGTTGCCAGTTATAATTAACAATGAACCTGTTGAAACCGTAAATGAATACAAGTATCTTGGTACATATATTGATAACAAACTGAACTTTTAATGTAAATACAGATGCTATATTCAATAAGTGTCAACAAAGGTTACACTTCTTGCGCAAATTGAAATCTTTCAATGTTAATCAATCAATTATGTGTCTTTTCTATCAGTGCTTTATACAGAGCCTTCTGGCTTTTTCTGTGCAATGCTGGTATGGAACCTTGTCCCTTAAAAACAGAAACCGTCTCACCAGAAAAGTTTTATTAGCCAGTAAAATTGCAGGTGTATCTTTTGCTAACCTAAATGAAATATATGAAGAAAGAGTTCTCAAGTCAGCCCGTAAGATTATATCTGACCCAGATCATCCCATCTACTATGAATATAAATTACTACCTTCTGGGCGCCGTTATAATGTACCACGTTTTAAATCCAATCGTGCCATGAAATCCTTTGTTCCTGCCAGTATTAATCTTTTAGATGATTCCTTCTGTTTGTCTTACCTTGTTAACGTGTTATATGTGTGTTATTTATTGTATGAAAATAATTTAATCATTTTATCAATGTTTGAACTCTGTATTCTACACAAGAATTCCCTCACGGGTAATAAAGTATTGTCATTGTCACCCCACAACCCGACTGCATATACAGGCTTTCACGCGGTTCAGCGGAACTACGTTTAAAAAGGTAATGCCATATGTTTTGCCAAGGTTCTTGGGGTCAGACTGACAGTTGCGTTTGTTTTACAAACTGTGTGTTCACCTAGTTTCCGAATGTAAATGTTGACAAGCTGGTTAGTGTAAGATAAATGGACATACTTGATACTCGAGATTATTACATACCTTCACGCATGGAAGTTTTACACACTTGGTGTTCCAAGCAACGCTCATTCGTCTTGTTCAACGACATGTCAACTGTCTCACATTTGGAACAGCTGTATTTGCTTCATGTATGGAAAACGCACACTTTCTCACATACATAACGTAATCTACCGTATACATACATACGGGGAAAATGCTTTATCACAAGTACTTTGTCAATTGTACGATGTCCACTAGATCATGAGGATGTGTTTATGGATCATAAGTAGTGATGATGCCAGGTCTTCGCGCAAAATGTGAGCGTATGCTGTCCATCCGGTGATACCCACCACTAGTGGTGGTCCGATTCATTGAAATAATCGAAGATTCGTCGCAGTGACTAAACGACCAAGCAATCGATCATGTTTTCTCATAATCGAACACAAACAATTCTGGAACACTTTTTGCATTAACAATATTTTTCACAAGGTTGGTTTTGTAAGTTACATGTCATAACCACTACAAGCTTGTTGCAAGTCATGATTGAATTTATCTTAGACTCAATTTTATGTTCCTACCATACTAGTAATCCTTTCAAGATGGGTAATTTGCCACACAAACAACCCCCAAAGAACTACATGTTTCTTCTTTGTTATCTTTTTTTTCATTTACCAAAATAACCAGGAAAAAATCATAAATAACGCTAACCAATTATTTTTGATGACTGATCGGTTGTAATGAAGCAATCACCAATTATGAGGTTTTAACCAATTCCCAACACTACGCATCACAAACACATCAAAGGCAAGTCAAAAACAAAAACACGAAAACTATAGTACAAAGCCTAATAAAAAATTACATTCAACAATTTTCGTGGATGATGCACAAGTTTGGAAATATCCTCTCCAAAGTATCATGGACCTATTGGGGGAACTCAAAGTTTACACACCGATGTACCTGTCACGATCTAAAATGAGATCGAAAATTGTTGTCTTGTATTATATATTCTCATATTTATGGCCCTTGCTCCATGCTTTTCAACCTGCGTGAAATGGCGAGAGGTTTTCTAAAAAACCCAGAAAGTCAGAGACCCAGTAATGTAACACACTGATGTGATTAGTCATGACCTAAGATGAGTTCGAAAAATGATATCTCAGATTCATTTTAAAGAGTTATGGCTCTAATGAGTTTGCTCTATGCTTTTCAAAACAGGTTGCCTCAATTGAAGCAGTTTGTTTGGTGCTTGTAGATACCAATAACAAACTTATGAATTTGTCTTGTGCGTAAACAAGTATACTTTGTTTGACTGTTTAACATATCTTAAGAACTTCGTATTCAATATATCTCCTTCACGGTGAGAGACCTGAAATGTAACAAACTAACAAAAATGATTCAGAAAACCGGGGTCTTAGATTCATGCTTAGGGAGCTATGGCGCTTTGCAAGCGAAAATGAGAGATAACTATCAAAACAGTGTTGGAAAATTGGTGCCATAAATTAGTATGTTCCAGAGTTACATCACTTGTCACATGGTGCTCTGTTGTCTTGAAACCCGCGAAGATCCGGGTTAGAATTGGTCATCAGTAACCCATGCTTGTCATAAGAGTCGACTAACGGGATTGGGTGGTCAGGCTCACTGACTTGGTTGACAAATGTCATCGTATCCCAATTGCGGAGATCGATGCTCATGCTGTTGATCCCTGTATTGTCTGGCCCAGACTTGCTTATTTACAGACCGCCGCCATATAGCTGGAATATTGTTGAGTGCGTTAATCAACAAGCCAGCCAATCTTTTGCTTTGAGCAGACACAGTTATAGTCCTTTATCGATGATATATTACGCAGTGCTTGCGTCTGAACGGGGACAAGTATTTCCAAAAGCTACTGAAATTACATGAAGTTACTGAAGACTGAGTTCGAAGAAAGAGCCATAATATACTTTTTCTAGATAAGGGGCTTTGTGTGTATATTTAGTTCACAAGATTTTATGAGACTCTGTTTCACCTCCTTCTATTCATTACTGTATGGAGAATCACAGCTCTAATGTGTCCAGTGGTGGGAGATGGTGATTACGCTGTTTTTGTGTTAAATTCCTGAACTTGTGCCTATTGATTAGTAAATACATTTTGTGTTTCCTTGACCTCAAACTGGAACTGTTGGTGTGTTTCAGTGTTTTACTGTGTGCTATAGGAGGCTGTATGAGGCCACATGTTCTTGCAACTACTGACGTTACCTGAATGCTGCTGAAGGCTGAGTTGATGCAAGTATGATTCCGTAATTATGTTTTCTCACTTACTCCTATCATATTCGCTGCTATCTGAACAAAAACATTTCTAATTTGACCGATAACGGAAGACAAACTGCATGAACGTCATTGTTTGCGAGTTACACGTACTTTTAAGACACTAGATTTGCGAAGCCCTCTTAGCGCTAAGATAGTCGTAAGTGACATACATTAACATTAACTTACGACTATCTTAGCGCTAAGAGAGGTTCGAAAATATAGGCCTAGATTTTCGAAGCTCTCTTAGCGCTAAGATAGGCGTAAGTGGCAGAAGTTACTTGTCAGGTGCCAACGCCAATGTAAATATACATTCTATACTGTGGCCCTGTTATTTAAAGCAAGTGTTTACTTTGTCTTAACCAATATATTTGTTTAAAAAATATCTTGATAGAAAACGTGCATATGACATGCAAACGTTCTTAACGCTTGTACGCTCACTAACATGAAACCTAGTACTACGTTGATAAGTCAACCTTATGGGAGATCATCGGTTTCTAAAATGTTCACTGAATGCCCACATACTGGACACTGACGAGCTTGTATTTGAAACAACACAGTTGAGCTGACTGTCGAGTTAGTGGACACGACTGTACCGTGTACGGTATGCGAACTAATGTTGAACCACAGGTAGAGCCAAACATATGATACCCAGCAAAGATCCTCGTTACTCTTGTCCTTCAACATGGAGGTTTGCCGTACAAGGCGACTAATGGGATCGGATGGTCGGTCAATCGTGCTGACGTGATTAATGCATGCTTTGGTATCTCCATTGTGTAGATCGATGATCGTGATTTTCAATCAGTTGTTTAGCTCTTCCATGTACGAGTATATCCAGAGCGCCGTCTAAAGTTTAAATATTGCTGAGATCAGAAGAGATCAGATTATAACCTTTGATTGCGAGGTTGAATGGCATATGCAAACACGTATACATGTTGCTTGACTGACCCTTACGACAGGGAATCTAGTCAGAGTGGAATTATGAAAAAAGGTTTTTCTCCAAGGCATTTAAAAAGAGAATACAACAGACCCATCTGTAGAATATAACAATGTCAAAGGTACATATAAACTTTAATGGAGGGATCCAGCGATAATCTACGACGAGTTCAAACGACCATGTCAGCTCAATAACGATCCACCATCGGCATTGAAAACAGCAGTGCATCGACGACGCATTCAAGTGAATCATGTCACACTAGATTCTCTCAAGTTCTGTTGAAAGGTCAAGGACGTTATCTGGCGGATGAGGAAGACGGCGTAGACGTCCATCCATCTCGTCCCAAACATCTCTTTCGTCCGGTCCGTCAACGTTGTGGTGTTGCAACCATAACCTTGCCGTAGAGGGCGGGCAGTTCTACATGGTCGAAGAATCTATCCACCAATATAAAACCATACTCAGCAGCAAAAAGCGTCAGTACGAATTCAAAATTAGATAGGCACTGTAATCAAATCATTAATCAGAAATGGACATAAGCGGATCAAAACCATTTTTTGTACAATATCTTGACACATCAATGAATAACTCAGCACAATTTCAAGACATTACGTGAACGTTTGCAGTCCATTTGGACTCTTGACTTCAGTATCTAGTGTGACCACCACAAGCAGCAATAACTGCAGCACAGCTTCTATGCATGGAGTGCACCAATCGATTGATGAAGGCCATTGGCACCAGGAACCACACTCTGAGAAAGGCCTGGCGCAATAAATCGGCTGTGTTCGGCCTTGGTATGACATTATTCAGTCTCCTCTGAATTTCACCCCAAAGATGTTCAATTGGGTTTAAATCAGGACTAAGGTCTGACCACTGCATAATGTTGACACCGTTCTGCTGTAGGAAGTCCCGTGTTAGTTCTGGCAGTATGGGCCCGGGCGTTATCATGCTGGGAAATGTTGTTCCGGTGACGTGCGGAATGTGTATGACGTGGGGTCTGAGAGGTTGGTCGATGTAGCGCACCGCAGTGATGCCGCCTCCTCTCCCTGGACCAACGTTCTGGAACACCACAGGACCCACTCTCTGGTTCAGGCCTATTCCACCCCATACCATGATGCTTGCACCTCCCCATGAGTCTCTTTCCATAACACAATGGTCTGAGTAACGCTGGCCACGTCGTCGCCATATTCTTGTTCTGCCATCTGCAGTTGATACGCAGTACCGACTCTCATCTGTGAACAGAACAGTTCTCCAATGTCTGTATCGCCAGTTTTGGTGTTTTCGGGGAAACTGTAGACGTTCAAGCCGATGACGAGGGGAGAGGGTAGGTCCACGGTAAGGTCTACAGCAATGGAGGTTCCCACTGTTAAGACGTCGGCGTAGTGTATCAGTACTGATTGGTCTTCCGTGTGTTCCCACTGTCTGGCGTGCTGTTTCGGATGCCTGCGTAAAGGGATTATGTACATGCTGTCGCACAACATGGCGGTGTTGTTGTCTTGTGGTGACCCTTGGTCTGCCAGTACGGGGGCGATCATTTGTGGTGTTGGTAGCCCGGAAACGTTGCTGCAGCCTGTAGATGGTCCGAACGTTGACCTGGAAGTGATTGGCAAAGGCTTGTGCAGTGTGGCCAGCTTCAAGTCTTCCTAGCGCCTGGTTCCTCTGAGCTGTCGTGAGAAAGGGCATCCTGCTGACGTTGTAATGTGAATGTTTTAACCAGGTTTTGGGGTGCATTTTATAGGGCTGGTCCTTGTGAAAAGCACGTGCAGCATGAGTTGCATGAAAAACATGGAGAACACCGTACCATCTCCGAGATCAGGTTGCGTTTTTGAGACCATTTCCTGGGTTCAATTCTGAGTTTGGGAAGGAATGTCTTTGCTCAGGTAAAGTTGGAGATGCTGTCAAAAATATACAATCAAAACATTAAATGAGTTTACAGTTATCCATTTCTGCGAAGGAAAATTCCAAACTGAAGTTTCTTTTGCTGCTTAGTATATAACAGGGTTGAACAAGGGGGTAGTTCTATTGACATACAACGCCTTTATTACAATATATGCGACGTTTCAGCGGATATACTAACATCGTTATCAAGAAACGCATCACTTGCTTGATGAAGGATTTAGCATCTACATCGAAACGTCGCGTATATTGTAATATAGAACTTGTACATCATCAGAACTACCCCCACCCCTGTTCATCTCTCCAACGTCTTATTGTCACTCAAAGAGTTATAACACTGTCCTCAACGAGACATATGTTACATCGATGTAATGTAATCGTAGGAGTATCGAATTATGAAAACTCAGATTTCAGTGTCGACTGTAATGTCTACATCAGTAATATACTACCCATCAAAAGTTTAGACTCACTAGTGTAAATGTAGCCACTTACTTAAGTCAACTCTTCTAAACTAGATTTTGCAAAATTTTCCATACCGTTTAAAGGTACTGTTTACACATGAACTGATGTATTGTAAAACAAATTCGTAACGTTGAAAAGAGTATTGTCATGGGTTAAAAAATGATGAAACTGGTTGAAAATTGGCGAATTTTTAACAAAATTTTACACCACAACACAGCTGTTCACATGCACGATATTTGCACATGCTTTTTAGCAATTTAATGCATGATCCTCGTGCAATTCATCTGCATAAAGTTTGCAGTTGGTTCCCCAAAGTTAGTGGAGAAATTCATCTTCGATGTAACCACATAACATATGGTGAGTGCTTTAAGTGAGTCCTAACTTTTGATGGGTAGTATATAATGTATTTACCCAAATGGAGTGTGAATAAAGTGTCCTAAATGTTTGAAAAAGGAACCTCGTTTGACATATTTCTCACTTTTATCATGAGAAGGTGATATATTATAGTTTGCTTGCTGGCTCCGATAGGTGGAATACAAGCGTTCTCTAACTTGGAGTTGTACGTAGTTGACAGGAGCTGTTCCGTTTTACGAGAGTGAGGCAGATTAGAAGGTTTCATCTATAAGAATATAAGAACACCATTAATTGTGGCCCAAGGCTTCTTCCGTCATGTGCTGGTGTTGTGACATTTCTGTCGCTATGTAGAGCATTACAGACAATCACATCACTGTCGCTATGTAGAGCATTACAGACAATCACATCACTGTCGCTATGTAGAGCATTACAGACAATCACATCACTGTCGCTATGTAGAGCATTACAGACAATCACATCACTGTCGCTATGTAGAGCATTACAGACAATCACATCACTGTCGCTATGTAGAGCATTACAGACAATCACATCACTGTCGCTATGTAGAGCATTACAGACAATCACATCACTGTCGCTATGTAGAGCATTACAGACAATCACATCACTGTCGCTATGTAGAGCATTACAGACAATCATATCACCGCTAAGCGTTAAGCTTCGCACGTTTAAGATGACAAGCGTTCCATAATAGTTTACAATGTGAAGACGTTATTCTAATCAGCTTAGGCGGAAGTAAGTACCGTCAGTCTCACATAGATCAATAATCCACGTTTTTGTTGGACATCTTGACTGCGGAGGAGGAACCATCAATATGAAAATGTACGGAAACACGAGCATCTCCGAATATATTTTTGTGTTTAGCGGATTTCAGCCTACAGTAATTGGACACCTTTTTGTAATGAGCTCAATTTGAATTTTCCCTTTACCCAGAACTCTTACCAAAACTTGGGTTACCAAATAAACCCACCCCCAGCCTACCTACCCGGCGTTGTAATATACAAGAAGAACCCACCCCCAGCCTACCTACCCGGCGTTGTAATATACAAGAAGAACCCACCCCCAGCCTACCTACCCGGCGTTGTAATATACAAGAAGAACCCACCCCCAGCCTACCTACCCGGCATTGTAATATACAAGAAGAACCCACCCCCAGCCTACCTACCCGGCGTTGTAATATATAGTTGGTTGACGTGCAGGGTGTGGCGTGCTGCACAACCAGCATATAAACTCATTTCCTGCCCCTCATCAGAAAGGAGCAAAGTCACTGGCATCTGTGGCAGTTTTGTCCACCTTGACAATTTAACCTCCAGCTAGCCTGTGATAGAATCTACCTGGTTCAGCATAGTGTGGAAATCGATTAAAATGTCAGCCGTCTAGGCACTTCTATCGCCGTTCGTGTCGTGCGGCAGTACACCGGCGCCCTTTTTCGCTTTTTATGACAGCCACCTTCTTTGCCTGGGACACACCAGGACTACCTTAATTCACAGTTCATTTCGTGGTCGTATTTAAACCAGTCTCTCTCAATAAAGAAGAAGCTGACATCCATAATATTTTATCTTACACTTAAACCAGTCTCAATATAACATGATTAGTAGAGGTGAAACGGTACACCGCGGTATTAGTGGAACCGCTGTATTTTGCCTTCGGTTGGGTATACCGTAGTGCAATCCAAAAATGTCTTTATTTGGTTTAATGTTTTATTAACCTTTTAAAACCTTTTCTAAAATGTTAAGAAATCGAATCATTTTGTGAAAATCTATGCGTTTCTTTTCTTTTGCGAATTATGATCATATCTCATATACCGAACTGAAACAGACTGAACCGAAGGCCTTGTAGCGCAAGACGAACCGTACCGTGGTAAGAGCGTACCGTTCCAACCCTAGTGATTAGTGCACAAACCACAAACCATAAAAATGGTTGATCGAAACCTGAAACATCGTAGACTATCAATAACATATATTTGATGTCTATTGTGTTTTAAACGGAGAGTAGATGTGTCTTCTAATTCCCAGGGTGTTCTGAAGTCGGCATATTTTCCCGATAATAATAATAATAAAATACAAAGCAGATAAATCAAAACACTTGTTTCGTTTTAATCAGTTGTATGAAACATCATATTTGAAAATAATTGTATATTTACACTGATGAGGTAGAAAACACGATGTAAATGAGGTATGCACAATGATAACGATACCCATAAATAAACTATTTCAACTTCAGCGCACACTGTACTAATTGCAGTGACGTGCCAAGACGCCTTAATGACAAATATATACTTTCTAATACAAGGGACAGGAAGAGAATTAAGAAATGTATTTTTACATAAATATATCTTGACAGGAACAATCACAAACTAATATAACAGTGAACGACTGATTGTTGAAAATAGTTTTAAATTAAGTATCATTGCATAAAGACAAACGAGAAACACGTATTCTTAAAGTCCTGCTTTGTTTGTAAACTGTAGTATTGTACCTGAGTTGGAAACAAAGGTAGCTTCGCACACACGCACAAAACAATGCATTTTGGACAATGAAATATGAAACATACACACGAAATGAAGTCTTCTGTCAACATCTTACTTTGTTTTGTTCACACAGTGATCAGACCATATCTTTACTATGTTACCAGAGAAACTGTTACTCGAATACGTTACAGATTTCAGTTCTGACATGCACTTACAGATACTATTTCAAACTAAACTGAAAAACGTACAAATATATTGCTTTCTGAAACATGCCAACGCTCGTAGGCGACATATGTGTGGAAATGAATGTGTCTGACAATAATAAATTTGCGCTGGCATCTTGAAATGTGTGTTACACCTATGCTTTGTAAGTATTCCAGATTTGAGTTGTGATTATCCCTGGTTATATGGACGCGGTTTTGAAGGAACAGTTACCAATAACATTCCTTGTCTTCATGGTTGGCGGCCTTGGCACCGTAGTTAGGAAAAAAGGATAATAAACTGAACTTTGTTCTTAGCATGAAATCAGGAAATTAAGTTTAAAGACGAAAATATTTAGCATGTTACTGGGTAATAGCATGATTTAGATTTGTTGCTCAACGTGACCATAACCACTTCGCCGTCTTAAAAAGTTGCGTTAAAGTTCTGATATATTTAACATACTTCTTCCACAATGATATCATGTTCACGAGATTGGAGATTATTTCACACACAACCATTACAAGTACCTGCTGAACCATAAATACGTCGGACATCGGAGTATGAGGAGTTCTCCGTTTCTCAGAACACAGTTAAATATGAGATTGTTCTTTGGAATGTTACATTGTGTGTGCCACCAGTGTAGATCCTTGCCTGAAGCTTGAGCACGGTAGAAGACCTCCCCGGCAGGCTCCAGGAACCAGTGGCACCGTTGGTGGCGGCGGGGACGTCAGCGAGACAGCGCGGTATGAGGTAGCAAAACGTCGGGACACGGGACTGTGAAGTACATACAAGACGCGATGAACACTCAGAAACCGAGTTTGTGCTCGCAGTATTCTCCCTGATACCGTCTCGGGCACTTGCATACTTTATTGATATCCATTGTTCCGTTTATGAACTTCGTCTCCCTGAAACACTCGCCACCGTTGAGGCACTTCTTCTCACAAAGTTCGTTACAGAACGTGCCGGTGTACGGCTCCAGGCATTTGCACCTGAAACCTGTATGAAGGGTGCCGGTGCAGTAGCCGCCGTTGTTGCACACGAAGTTGCCCGCGCAGGAGGCTTCATGGTTGCGGGCCCTCTCGGCGATGCGGGCAAAGTCGGCGTCGGTAGCAGCACCCGGAAAGGGGTGGAGAGTGGGGAACCCCAACACCTTAAGAATACCCAGATCCGACGGGATGTCACATTTGTCGCCCTGCCAGCCTGGATTACATTCACATTTGACAAAATTAGGTAGAGCTGTTCCAATCTGCTGTTCACATGAGCCGCTTTTGCAGGTTGACTTGCACGTTGCCATTGATAATATAGTGATGATAGATGGGGGTGAGTCCTGTTTGCCTAGAACGGCGACCAGTGAGGCTAGGCAGAGCGACAGACACAGAGCCATGTTGAGAGTCATGGTTTATACGAGCAGGTATGGTTTACTCAGCAGTGATGGACAAATGTGTCTGGTCGAGGTAGGTAGCAGCACTATTTAAATAGCACCCCGCCAACTGACCGAGTGCTTGGCTTGTACTGCCTCCCGATTTCCGCGTGTATTCTTCCCCTTCATAAAGTAGACAGATGACGTGAATTTGGACGGCGGTAATCCATCACCAGAGCGTCGTATGTTCCGGATGAGTGCCCCCAACGAGGTGATAACAAGTAACTACCTGCTGGCGGGAGGCAGCTATGTATATATTGCGGTGTCTCCCCTACCTACTGGGGGAGGGAGTGATGCAGATGTGTAGGTGCACCTGAAGCAGATTGGTGTGAGTGATAAATGCGCCCTGCCACTTCACACAACACCTCTCTGCCACAGGCTACATTTCAGTGCTCTCACAATGCAGCATACTGAATGAGTTTCACAATATGTATCCATGTGTTTTTGAGTCACCCTTTGAAGCGAGTTGATCAGGACACCTGGTGGCGCGGGGTGCCAGACAGGGCCTCCAACGACCCTTTACATTAAATATTGAATTTCCTATCTCGAATTGCCACACTTTGAAACAAAAGATGTTAAAAATGACAAAGGAGGCAAAACATTATCATTTCTTTGCTTGAAATGGAATTGCAAGTGGTAAAGTTGCTTGATGTCCTTAAACACCAAGTAAACCCTGAATGATGATTACATAGTTTTAATTATATATATATTTGAGGTGAGGTGAGGTGAAATTGGGTTTAACGCCGTGCTTGAGAGTATTTTGCTCATATGTATGTGCGGCTGCTTGTACTAGCCCAGACTGAAGCTGGTTTTATAGTGCTAGCCCACTGAGATACCATGCCGCAGTGAAGCATGACTACCCCACTCAGACACATTATACTGACTCCGAGCCGACCAGTCCTTGTTGTACC